TCCTCCTTGTTCTTTCTTTGGCCCGCTCATGCAACGACACATGTCATCTTCTTCCACTGGCTGGTGGGTCAGCCCTGAATGTTGTAGAGCAGGGGTAGCAAACCTCCGGCCCTCCAGCTGTGCCCTCCATGGGATTTTTAGTTTCCCCACAGCTGGAGGGCCGGAGGTTTGCTACCCCTTTTGTAGGGAATGGTGTCACGTCATTCCCTGCTGCATTCTCCTGCACGCCCATATGGGCTGGGTTGATGCCCGGATGCTGTCAGATCACAGGAAGTGGGATGAATGATGCCGGGCGTCATATAACACCTAAAAAAAGACCAGCGCTGGCCCTGGGAATGGTGAGTTTTCAGAGGACAGCATCACAGAGGAAGTGAGTATTGCAAAGAGATCTGCTTTTCCTGTTTTTTTAAAAGCCTTGTCTTTTTTTTTTTTAATATAGTTTAAGATAGCATTGAGCTTTAATACAAGACCTCAGGGCTGTAAGGCAAGTGTGCTAACCACTTATTCACCAGTATACGTGATACACCCAAGCATACGTGATGCTAGCAATGGAAAAAAGTGGACTTCTAAGCAGTGGGACTGTGAACGCAACGCAACCACTACATAATGTCTACAACCAGAGTTAATGTACCGCTGCTACTTAAAATCGCAGCCAGAACTTCAATTTACACTGATAAACCTCTTGTTTAATTGACCTTGACTCAAGTGACCTCATCCGGCTGTGCAAAAGGCCCTAAAAGCCTTCGCTGTGCTGAGAACCATGCACTTGCCATTAAATAATTATTATTTGTGCCGCTATTGTAGAGCTGAACAAGGCTGTGGGATTTTCAGACGTTGAGAGCTTGCTGGCGTTTTAATCTACAGAGTTCACTCTGAAAGATGGCACCCTTCATCTTTTGCCTTGAAAAGAAGCTGTCCACGCAGACACAAGGAAGAATGAAATGTCACTCAATAACCAGTGCACAGCTTAAAAGCCCATTTACATCTAGACTTGTGGGTTCTGGTAGGTTCAAGGGAGGAAGCAGTCTTCAGATGTATAGACCTCCTACCTAGCCATTGAATTAATGCAGTTACACTATAGAAGACAGATGCATGGATATGAAATCTCAGTCAATACAGCATTTGCAGAGTTAAGTGCTCCTATGTCAATTCATTTTCTACCTAAACCTAAATGGCGACTTTTTTTCTCGCCAGCCATACAGGACAAATGCAACAAAGGAGGAAGCTGCGGTATTATCAGAGGTAAAGCCTGGCTGCGGTTTTCATACCCAAGATTAAAAGACAAAAGCTACTCAATCAATCTTTCAGACTTGCTATTTATCAGACTCTGTGAAACATTGCTTACTCTGAGGACGACATTTCCTTTTAGCTACAACTTACTCTAATGTCTACTAAATTTTTAAAAAGAAAATAAGATTTTGATATTATCGTAAAAGCGCATTCGTGAAGTCCCTTGAGGGACACAGGAATTGCAGAAAGTCTCAAACAGTTGGGCTATACCTCCTCCAATAGGAGGTTGGGACTCTGGCAAACAAAACCAGTAAACCAGCCCCTGTATAACCCCGCCTCCAACCGTCATACCCGTTTGAAATCAAGCAATGCAAAAGCCAATAACACAAAGGGATGGGACCGATGTCCGTCAATGGACTTCAGAAAAAGATTTTACGGCAAGTACAAAATTAAAATTCTCTATTGGCCATTGAGAGGCAACGGAATTATAGATATTAAACTGTGTAACCCCAGGTTGAATAACCCCGCCTCCTACATAATGCCTGCTTGAAATCAAGCAATGCAAAAGCCAATAAAACGGAGGGGCGGGACCGGTGTCCTTCAAATGGACTTCAAGGAAAAAATGTTTACGGCAAGTACAAAAAAAAACTCCATTGGCCGTTGAGGGATGCAGGAAAGCTAGATAAAAGAGGGCCAACCAATTTAGAAATTGCCACAACCGAGGGGAGGGCACTAAGAATCAACTTGATTTAATGTCTAAAGTATAAATTTACTTTAACCAGTTGACATCCGGGGTGTTAAACCCCCCTTCCCATCCAGGCCATTTTTCAGTATTCAGCGCTGCGGTACTTTCACTGACATTTATTCCGTCATGCAGCGCTGTACTGAAATTAATTTTATACCCTTTTTTGGGGACAGATAGAGCTTTCTTTTGGTGGTATTTATTCACCACAAAAAAAATTTTTTTATATATTAAGGAAAAATTACAGAATTAAAAAAAAAAAAAAAACAGTTTCCCCTATATTAAATGATAAAACATTTATAATTACCCAATTTTTTGGTAAAATGTAAAAGACGGGGTCACGTCGGGTAAAGAGACACCAAACATGTCAAGCCTTAAAATTGCGAACGCGCGCGAAACCTAAAAAAAAACTACATTACCCAAAATTGGCCATAGGCGATGCATTAAAAGCTTTTACCGCTCATCAGTTTAGTGTTATCAGTGATTGATGGCCCTAAAATGATTGCTCTCACTGCGACTTTCGCTTCAATATGTAACATGTGTAGCGCAATTGTCATTTTCGCGCGCTGGCGCATGCGACGCGTATTTACGTTTATATGTGCGTAAACGAAGGGGGGGGGGCCTTAAACATTGGGGGGGTTTCCTTTTTTTATTTATATAGATTTTTTTTTTACACTTATTGTTATTGCTATACATATATAATAGCACAGGTACACTGACAGGTCCTCTTTATGGAGACATTAGGGGTCTCTAGACCCCTAATGTCACCTGGAGACCCCATAAGAAGCTGATGAAGCACAGATTTCCTTCATCAGCTTCTTCTCTCTGACTGACTGGTGAATGCGGAAGTGATGTAATACACATCACTTCTGCATTCACACTACAGAGGGAGAACAGCAAGGAGCTGATCTCCCTCCCTCCTCCTCCTGACGCCCTCCCGAGCCAATCCCGGGCCGCAGATGGGCTAGCGGATCCCGGGATTAAAGGTGAGGGGTCAGGAGGGGGGAGTGGTGGCACTAGCGAACGGGGGGCGTGTGATCCGAAAATCACGCCGTACAACCGATCGGCGGCTATAGAGCCGCTGATCGGTTGTATGTGAAACAGCCGTTAACGGCTGTAGAGACGAGCGGGTCTTTCCTGCCCGGGCGCGCGCCAGCAGGAAAAAAATGTCATCTGGACACGGCAACCCGCGGATGCGAGTCTGCCGTCCGTCCGTTTTTTCGGCAAGAGGTTAATTTCACCCAGATATAAATGTTAATACATTTCTGAGCAGGTGTGATGTTCTCAACCATTCTACAACAATGCTTCAAGAACTAGAGTTATGTTTTTTTCTTTTTATACCCCAGTTATAAATGCTGCCATTGTTATAAAATATTTAATGATTGGATCACAGTGGAGATTTTAACCAGCAGGTTGCCAGAGACCAGTAGCAGAGAAATAACGGTGCTGCCTGGACACCACAACGTTCCAGCTGTTACCTTTAAACCAATGGTAGTTGGTAGTACATAGCTACAATTAATTAAGATTAAATCAGAAGGTATCATTACTAATAAAGGGAATAGACATTTAGTAATAGAGAAATACATCCAACAATGAAGATTAACTTTAAAGAACTCCCAAAAAAAAAACCATTCAGCCGCTGACTACAACAAACATTTAAAAACCCTAATAAATAGTCTGAACTAGGGCTGCAACAAGTAATCGACAATCGATTATTGAAAAAGTTGTCAACTTTTTCAATCATCGATTAATCGGCCTCTGATTAGTCGGCCCTGTTCACGGCTCCACACATGCTGCGCGCAGCACCTCCTCCCCACCTAACACTCGCCGCTGCCAGACTTGCCCACCCACATCCACACCTCCTCCCCGCCCTCACCGCCCACCCACATCCACGATCGGCACAGGGACACGGGGAGAAGGAGGAGCAGGTGTGGGGGGATGACAGCCGCCGATAGACAGGCCTGATCTCAGAAGCAAGTTGCTGGAATACTGCTCAGGTAAGCCTGCACTTTCCCACACATGGGGCTCTATAATGTATTGCTGGGATTTGTATTCCTCTATAGCTGATGGTACATTGTGCTGTATATTATACACAGGAATACAAATCCCAGCAATACATTATACACTGTATGTATAATGTATTGCTGGGATTTGTTGTATTCTTCTATAGCTGGTGGTATTCTGCATTGCGCTGTATAGAGGACTACAAAGCACAGCAATAATACATTATACAGCGCAATGCAGGATACCACCAGCTATAGAGTACATCAAATCCCAGCAATAATACATTATACAGTGGTGCAATGCAGAATACCGCCAGCTATAGAGGACTACAAAACCCAGCAATAGTACATTATACAGCGCAATGCAGAATACCGCCAGCAATAATGTATTATTGCTGGGATTTGTTGTATTCCTCTATAGCTGGCGGTATTCTGCATTGTGCTGTATAATGTACTATTGCTGGGTTTTGTAGTCCTCTATAGCCGGTGCCATTCTGCATTCATTGCTGTATAATTTTACACTTTTCATTTCACTATATTGCACACCACACTTTTTCTTTTTTACTTCCACCGCTCCAAGCTTGCTCCTGTGATGGACTACAATCTCAATACAAACTAGTAGTCCATCACTGGAGCCATTTTTAAAAATTTATTTTATTTTTTATCCGATTAACTGATTAATCGAACTTAATAAATCGGCTAACTAATCGATTTTTAAAATAATCGTTAGCTGCAGCTCTAGTCTGAACCCTCAGACTTGAAACTGTTAATCAACATTTTAATCCACCGCAGCCAGCATCAACAAGCCACCTACATGTTCCTCTAGGAGGGGCCGCAGCATCAGGGTGAGAATTAGGAGCCATGTTATTTTTGACTGGCACTACAGAATTGGGGAAGCAGTCAGTACAATCTAGCAGCTGTTTTCTTTTAAGGAGACAGGGAGAACACTTGAGGCCATCACTGACCCTAAAAATCTCTAGCTTCATTTTCATAGATGCTATATAAGGTTTTTTTGCTTTACCTACCTGAACCAACAGGGGATGAGCCCACACTCAGACTCTGCAGGCTGCCATTCCTGAACAATGTAGGAGACCTCTGAAGGCCAGTACTTGCTATACTGCCTGCCGCAGAAGCAACGGAGGACGTGGGGGAGGCAGAGGAGGCAGAAAGGTGGGACGCTGTGTCCTGATTCTTGCTTCCTTTTGGCCGCCCTGGCCCATGTTTATTTTGTTTATTTCCTCTTCGCTTCTTCTCTTTTACGGCATCCTCTTCAATCACGGAGGATTGTACCCGCTTATATCCTGATACGGAGAGGCCGGAATTCGTGCAATCCCCAGAAATGCCATCAATGTTTTTGGTCTGAAAAGACATAACTGGATTTGCTGAAAGGCCCATCAACGAACTGAACGTGTTTACTGTCCCTTCCTGCAGAGCTGCCTCCGATTTCGGAGTGTCTTTGGTTGACAGCGGCTGCTGAGGATGGTGATAGGTATCAGTCCGCATTTCTGACTCAGAAAAACTGAGAAACTCTTGTGGGGACTGAACAGAACTTCCAGAAGACGACTTGACGCTGCCAGGTGTTCCCGAAAAGCTGCCTGTAAGGATAAAAGTGTCAAAATATTGAAAATGTATGCACACATTTCAACAACAGGTAGTTGTCGTGTTTCTACCAAAGCTAAGACAAATTTCTCTTAATTTTAATGTAAGTTGAACCTACTTAGTTAAAGGAAATGCAACGTGGTTCTGCATATATTTTATTTCTTTTTTTTTTGTCATCACGAGAATTATATATTTTTTTAAAACTTGGGTAAGTATAATATATCACATTTAACCTCTTGCCGTCCGCCCGTAGTAGAAAAACGGACGGACGGCACTGCTGCATCTGCGGGTTGCCGTCTCCAGACGGCAATTTTTTTCTGCTCGCGCGCGCCCCCTAGCGGGCACGCACGGGCAGAAAAGACCCGATCAGTGCACACACCCGTTACATAGCCTTCTATGCAGCCAACAGGTAGAGCTCTTGGCTGCTTTACAATCCTGTTACTTACAGAGATCAATAGCTCAAACTGACATTACACACACACACAAGTAAATGAGTCGGGGGATTGACTTCCCCTGTATAGGAATGGCTCCATCTGAGGTTTCCATTAAACAAAGCATACCTCGAGGTAGAGACCTTCTCCTAAGACAGTGGTGGCGAACCTTGGCACTCCAGATGTTTTGGAACTACAAGTCCCATGAGGCATTGCAAGGCTCTGACAGCCACAACTCCCAGAGGCAGATGCATGTTGGGATTTGTAGTTTTGGCACAGCTGGAGTGCCAAGGTTCGCCACCACTGTCCTAAGACCTCCCAAGAGCTGCTGGCAAATCACACATTGTTGGATAATGCCCTTTAAATCCTCTAGCCAGACATTTGTAGGATCTAATACCTGCAAACAGTCAATTTCAGTATCACAATGGGTCTCCTCACACCACTCATTTCATCCTGGGGATAAAACTCCCTACTTGTCATTCTTGGTAATGTATCAGCCCTATATGTCCACCTATAGGCAGATCAGAGGGGTGTTCAAACATCACTGGGTGTAACAGAAGCCTCTTTCGATGCTGTGATAAGTTTTATTTGTTAGAAATGTATAATCGATTGCTGCCTTGCTTCCACTGCTATACAGCTCTCTAGCAATGTAATTCACTGTACTTTTTGCCACTAGAGATGAGCCTGGGCTTGATGTGAATCCAGTTGGCCTGAGACCACTCAAATCTGCGACCGCCATTCCCCCCTTCCAGCCCAATCAGGGGCTGTAGTTGCTGTATGGTTATTCCCCACCCCTTTGTAACCTATAGCTACAGGGCGAGGAACGAGCCTCCCCGCCATTAACTGTGTAGGAAGGAGGGGTGGCAGTTACAGTTCTGAGCATGCTTGGGTGAACTCAGGTGAATTGGGTTCACACCAAGCCCAAGCTCATTACTATTTGCCACCAGTTACAACAGCGTAACCAAAAAGAGCTACCAAAAGGCATATAGAAGCCAGCCTGGAAGGTTTAAGAATGGGAATGCTCAATTTTGACATTATATACTGCCTCATCATTCAGTGTTTCTCACAGTGAGGGCCCATGCCGTTCAGTGTATAAAAACCAAGAAAAACACTTTCTAATACCACTAAGACTCTCATTATATTTATTCTGAGCATTACACAACACTCACCTTCAAGCAAAATTACATTTCAAACTGTGTATGCAGCTCTACAACCCAGGAAGAGAAATGCATGGCATCAATTTTTATTTAGTATAAGTATCGCTCATTTTGACCAAGTAATTCGATTTCTTTTTTTTTCTTATGTGAAGTATCATTTAAAAAAAAAAAGTGTACCATAGAGATGCCGAACACAATGTATTCTATAAGCAACGGATGGCGGATGGTGGCTGAGCCACAGCAGGTTGCAGGGCTATTCTGAGCAAATGGATCCCAGAGTAATTAATTTTACTTTACGGAAAATTCCTATACTATTACTAAACAGGGCTCATGTTGTGAAGCATGAGGAATCTCAGAAGGGTTGATCGGTTTCCTACTACGTGCATTCATACAAATGTAGTACAAGAAAATAAACCATATAAATTGTGGACATTATAGGCTGCATATTCTTTCTCAACATAAGGAACCCACATATTTCTGCCTTTTAATGAACCTAAAATTAAGAATTATTCCACAATAAATAGAATCATGTACCAAGGGAAATACATATGGTGCTCCTAGTTACATGGCTGTTGCTACCCTTATTACTATATTAGAAAATGACATGAACAAAGTCTGCAACATGTGAAGCAAGAGCTCCTGAACTGCATAACTGTTCATGATCATTGATTCAAGGAACTGAATCCACCAAATCAACCACCGCAAAAACACAAGCATTTCTCAGAGCAAGGTTAGCAACTGCTCTCCAAACATTTCTGGCACTGCAGGGTAATAGTTGTGGAGAAGGCATGCAGACCATTCACCTAAGGTATACCGTAACAAAGCAGATCCTTCCACTGAGATATATAGAAACAAATCAGATCATTCAACCAAGATAGCAGATCCTTTTATACGCTATATAGTACCACAGAGGATCATGAACCTGAGATACACAAAACCAAAGCAGATCCCGACACTGAGTTCTATAGTACTAAAGGAGATCTTTCCACTGAGATTTATAGTATCAAAGCAGATCCTTCCACTGAGATTTATAGTACCAAAGCAGATCTTTCTAGATATTACAAAACCAGATCTCAACTGAGAAATACAGAACCAAAAGCAGATCATTCCACCCAGATATACTGTATGTACCAAAACCTTAAAAACATTAAGATCCCGTTTACAAATTGCAGTTAGCACATGATATAAAATAGCGATACTAAACTGCCTAAGAGGATCCCATTCCTGGAGAGATATAGGGGCCCACTCACACCAGATTTTTTGATTTGCAATATGTTTTTCAACGGATGCTAGCGAAAGGGTGACGAAAAATTAATGGGTGTGAAATGTGTGAATGGGGCTAGTTCAGGACGCTCTGTTGCGTAATGTTACATTGCGCTGAAAAAAAAAAGAACATGCAGTACTTTTTTCAGTGCACATGCAGTACTTTTTTCAGTGCAACGTAACGCAATGGATCCGGTGTGAACTAGTCTCATTCACACCCATTTTTTTTTTCAGTGCCCTTCTGTTAGCATCCCTTGAAAAAATGGATCGCAACACAACTGATTGGAAGGAAATCAGAAGGTACGATTGCAAGTCAACGGACCCTCTGTTGACTTGCGATTTCCAATTTTGGTGTGAATACACCCTTACTCTAGTTCCCTGTTGTGTCTCGGTCAGGAAGGGAAGGAGACTCTCCAACAGCAGCCAGCAAGGAAAACAAAAAACCTGACAGGTTTCAACAATTTCTAATGATGCACTTTAAAGCAGAGGTGCCCATTAGGTCGATCGCGATCTACCAGTAGATCACAAAGCGAACACTGGTAGACCATGATCGGCTTACTGACCTGAGCTCCCTCCCACGGTGCTAGTGCGGCTGAATGTGTCAGACGCTGCAGACGGGATGGGGCGGGACACCTCATACACCGAGATACAGGGGAGAGAGCGAAGAGGGAGAGCCAGTAGTCCCAGTAACGATTTTAATGTGCTTGTTTTTTTAAATAAAGGTGTTTTTTCGTTGGTAGATCTCACTGAGCTTGTCATTTGAAAGGTAGATCTCCAGACGAAAAATTGTGGGCACCCCTGCTTTAAACACTTGCACATCCTAAAGAAACCTCTGCTCCAGTTCCTAAAAATTGTGAAAATAACATTGATTGTAATAGTTTTCTGCTACAAACACAAAGGGCAGGACAATGATGAAGACGCACCCAGACGTTCAATAGCACCGAACATTTTTAGAATCAAAATTATTTGTCTGAAATGGTGCAACATCTATGATCCCATTTTGTGTTTTGCTGGGTATTCTTCTTCAAACTGACTGTTAAAGAAAAAAAAACGACATTGACACAAGTTTTCCAGCCCAATCTGGTCTTTGGCTTCCTCTACACTATTCACATATTGGTAGTAAATATTACAAAGATAGGCCTACTTTACACTGAAAGGAGAATCTTTAAGACAACCGCTATTTTGTCACTTAATTAGCAGCTATGTAGAATGGGTTTCCATTAGCCAATCTGACTGCCACCATCTGTCTTTCCTTTACCCTTTTGTTTTTACAGCTGCTGTTAAGAGCTCATTAGGATTCTATAAGTTCTTCTAATCCTATATAGCGATGGAAGGGATTTCTAGAATTTCTTTTCTGTTTCAACAGAAACTGAATTATGCTGAATGTGACATTTGGAACGCGGTACAGTGGAGGAGGAATTATGGAAGAGTCGGATCCAGCAGCGTGAGGACCTGCCAAAATGATTTCATTCTACATTTTGGGAAGAATACCATGCAGGTATTTCACAGATCAGGACATTTTATAGTAAACCTATCATAAGAGATATATGGGAGATGCCACTGCGGGCCACCTTCAGAAAATGATAATTGCTGTGCTGTATCTAGCTTCCGTAGTTCTGAGTCACAGACCCATAACTAACATGCAGTAAATTGTGATAAAACCTATCTTTATACTTTATACTGTGATTTAAAGTATTAAAGCCAAAGCATCAGTACAACAGCCAGGCAAGTACCATTTTTAGTGACGGAGGTCATCAATGACGACCTATGTATTTCCCTCAAACAAGGCTACATTTAGTAAGATTATATCACTTTGAGCATCATGGCAAAAGCCTACCCTTCTGCCATGCTCCTCCGCCACCCTGTTACTCTGTCTAAGCCTTCTAGATGTGGATATGATGCAGTTCTCAGGCATGAGCAGCTAATCTCTAGGCCCAAACAAGTCACATAATGAGCAGCAGGATCCCATAAACCCTGAAAAAACCCCATCATCATCATCACACCCAGGGCTTACACAGGGTTTCATCTCACAGGTCCAATAGTGGAATACAGTGCTGGGAGTTTGAGCGTAGGTGGGTCAAAGGGTCAAATTTCAAGAGACTGTCACTCAGTCCTGAATAGGCAAAGTGACAGAGTCTCTTTGGAATCTCCAGAAAAGGGAAAGGGCTTTTTGACAATTTTGGCACTAGTAAAGGCCCCATTTAGAGCCTGGGGCTAGGATCCAGGAGCCCAAAGCAGGCACTTAAAGGCACCAGAAGGCTTTTCTGCTTGACTCCACATTTTAGTATGTGCGTCTATTCTCCTATGACCTTAATCCGCATAAGGAACTCACCTGCCCAGCTGTGCCACAAAAGCTGTCTAGGTAGAAGAAGCTAAATTTAATGCGAGTCATCTTTAATCAAACAGATGTGTATTTCGATTTCAGCATTCAACAACCTCCTTCATTGCCTCTTATGTTATGACACAGTCACTACAGTGTTACCTTGCTGGAATGGACTGGTAGCTGCAGCAGACCCTGTAGAATTCCTTGCACCACCAGACTTGCGTCCTCGTTGCATGGAGTTGGGGCTTGCAGTCTTCTTTGTTTTGCCCTCTGACGTGCGTGCTTCCAGTGCATCTTTCACACTTGAGGGATGTGCAGAAACCTCCTGGAAATTTGCATTTGTAAACCGCGCTGTTGTTTCCTCCAAACGCTTTACTGAGCTTGTGACAGAGTTGTTATTGTTGTTGGCGCTGCTGGTAAAGGACTGAATGGTAAAAAAGAAAAGAATGAATACATTTAAATATGCAAGTAGGATATATAAAAGGGACAGGAAGTTCTATTCTTCTACTCTGTACTCATTCATGTCTCACGCTATACTGTACTGTATTTTATTGGCCCAGGAAAGAGTGATCAACAACATTACGGCTTGTGGTGGATGCCAGAGTTCTACCACCCAGGGTTTCTCGTGGAGGCCTAAGAAAAGATCTCTGCATGTACGTTCCTAGGCCTGCATACCTGCCATGGCCATTACAAGATGGTCTAATTTTTCTGCTGTATTTGTAAAATTACAGTTCGGAGAATGAAATGAGAGCGGTGACACCATAAACTCAATGGAAATAAAAGACAGGAACCACGCCATGAAAACTCGCTGCTGTAGAGCTTAAAGAGGTCACAAAGCATCAGAGACGGCCATATTTAAAGCTAAACTCTTGCCTATACGTATGAGCACAGAGAAATCTCACTGCTCCATCCCACATCCAGCTCTGTCGCTCGGGTACACTGCAGGTGCAGGTCGGGAGCCAGTCACGCTCCATAATTATACCGTCCAAAGAAATGCCGCACAATCTCACGGACTACAATCTCAGTTTAGTTTACTAATTTGTATTGGAGTTACAGTCCATCAGAGGAACCAGCTTGAAGCATTCTAACACAGGGACCATGGGGAACAAAAGTAGCCACCCTCCAGAAGGAAGGACAGTGTCAGCACCAATTCAGAGATGATTTGAGGATCTACAGCCGAGTGATAGACAAATAAGATACATTTTTGTTAATAGTTAAGGTAAGATTTAACTCCTGAATTTAGCGTCATTTGAAGGATAACCCATTAGCTTTAAAAAAAAAACATAAAAATAAATGATACACACGGTGTTAAAAGGACTTCAAAGAGGGGAATTGTGCGGACTTCACTTCCTGTCAAATTTGAGAAAACCCCTTTATATGTATGTTATGTATTCCCATTCACACAGGATACCAAAGAATAATTAAAAAAAAAAAAAAAAGATATTTCTTATCTTTTAAATATTTCTTTGGTGAAGACCTTTATGCAGATTCCAGGCAACTCTGAGCAGTTTGAAAGTGAAAGAGGAGGGACAAACTGAGGGACAGATTGAGCTTCCTCTCATTAACATACAATGCTTCTAAGCCTTTAACCCTTTGTTAGGACAGATGGAAGGGAATTTATCAAAACTGGAGCAGACCGAATGCAGAGCAGTTGCCCATGGCAACCAATCAGCTTCTCTCTTCAGTTTGCTCAGGTAAAATTTGAAAATGAGACAGAGAAGCTGATTGGTTGCAGTGCAAATCTGCTCCAGATTTTGTCTTCTCCAGTTTTGATTAATTCCCCCCATAGTGTTTAAATCTAGTTTATAACAATAATGAGATTCGGTGTAACACGATCACTATACACCAGCTCATAGCCAAGTTGTAGGACGACGATATGAAGAGGAAAGCAAACAAAAAAAATGTAAGTTTCATATACAGCAACTGCCTGCTTCATGTGTACTCGGGTGTACATTGGTGGCATGTCTTTTAAAAATACCTCTGCAAAAGGTGGAAATGGCTTGAGGATGCCAAACCAAGAAAAAAAAGATGGCAGTGTCAGCGGCCGACTGAGGGGAGATCGGACAACACAGAAGAAGAGGATTGTTTGCAAGGTAAGTCCACCATAATGTGCTAATATGCTGTACATATTAGCTTGGCCTGAATGTAAATGTAGAGCATTAGATAAATTAAGTCATGCGAAAAGGAATTCATATACTTTACGATCTTTACAAGTTATTAACCACCAAAAGTTACCAGAATACAATAGTTTTTACTATAGTGGGCCTTTTCTTGTGTTCAGGGGATTTACATGAGCTTTAAACATTTCTACCATGGCAAAGGCAACATCAGCACAGAGAAGGAAGATGGAGCTCTACACAGGACTAGAGTCTGACTGCAACATGATTGTAAATATCTAGAAGGGGAATCTCTGAAAATATGCTGTAAAAGGTGCTACACCGCCACATATATTATGTGATCATAAAGCACTGCTTGCAGTCTACAAACTGAACATTACTATGGCAATCCTGCCACTAGGTGGCATCTTCCTTAATTCAAATCCACAGTATCCACACTAGCTGCCTCCACACAGTCAGTGAAAGTAATAAGGGGCCTTATGAACAGAATCCTTTGACCATTTTTACAGAATAAATACTGAACATGTAGGTGCTACAAAACTCCGTCTTCATCCTTCTGAACCAGAAGAGGTTTATCTGTCTTTCCAAAGCAATAGGTCCAAGACAAATCTAGTGCACTGCCATTTAAAGTGGAACTAAAGCCAAAACATATTATTCAATATGCATAGTGTAATGAATGGTCATAACCCATTTTGTTTTCTTTGCCATTGGGGGAGATTTCACTTCACTTCCTGCCCCACATCCACAACAGGAAGTGAGAAGAAATCACTACACAGTGAGAGAACCCTTTAGCTTTAACAAAGAAAAACAAATTGAGAGCCTAACTCAAGCTAACTCTTTTAGAGTAGTTACAGTAACAGAGTTGCTTTTTTCCTTTGCTACCGCAATAGAGGGGATTACAGTATCCCAGCACAGACAATCCCCCCCCCAAAAAAAGGGATTCCGAAACCGCTTAAAGACTGAGAAGGCATGGGTGGTGGCAGAGTAAAAAGGGGGAGCATGGATGTTGGATGAGGGCATTTTGCTAGGGAAGTGTGTGATACTGCACAAATATCCACATTATTATTATTATTATTATTAACCCTTGCATTGGGGCTACACCATGGGACATTCTATTGCCGAAGTAGAGAGAGGCTGCAGGGACCAGTATAGCAGCCAAGTGGGACCCAGATTCCAGTAGGTCTATTGTTATTTTAGACCTTAGATGAAACTGAGCACATAACCTACCCCCACACTGCAAGGGTTAAGTTTTATTTTGCCTGGAGTTCTTCTTCAAAGAACTTTAGTACTTAAAAGAGTATATAAAGGAACAGAACCCCTGTTAGGCTTTTATAGATGTGCGTCTCCGCTGGGAAATTCACCCTCTCTATTTGCGCCTTGGGTTCTAGAGAAGAGAAGAGCGGGGTTGGGGATGACACATCTAACATACAGACCTACCTTCCAAGATTTAAAGGCTACAATGAGAAAACAAATATCATGCACATTCACACGGCTCAGAACATGGTGTTCCCAGAACACCAGGATACAGGCAAAGCAGCAGTTTTGGATGCAGGTGACTGAATACCTTACGGATATGGTCAGCTGAAAAGCAGATGTTTGGCATCTTTTTGTATTTTAAAAGATTTTTTTTATTTTGACACAGGTGCACCTTTCAATCAAAACAAGACATCAGAAACGTTTTGTAAGCAAATCAATAACACGGCATAAAACAAGGTTACAATTCCAGGACTAGCCGGCACTGCAATGACCGTAATTTGTACTGATCAATTACCATCATTACATTATAACAGGCCCAAATCAATAAAAACATTCAACATGCCTTCCTAATTACACAGAGGTGATGGAGAGTAAGGAAGAGGAACGCCACACACGCTGCCAAACCGAACCCATTACAGGCGTTTCTTCACAATTATTTACCAATTATAATCATGCTTCGCATCCCACAAAAGAGTGGCCATTACTTGCATTGCTCCTCATCTACGCAGTAATATGCACACTTCTGTATTGGAAGAGGCTACATATACAATATATGTATGAAGTAACAACTAAAGTCAAGGTCGGCGCAATATAAATACCAATAATAAGTAAATACAGAGATCAAATACACACATCTCTGGGCAACACCTAACGTACGTCACATGAGAGGATTTAGGTGACTAAAAAGGGGCATTTAGGTACGACCGGAGCTCAGCTTTAAGTATCACTTGCATGTCTTGTTCTTCACCCAGCCAGTGACTGGAAAGTGAAAAGGAGAAGAAAAAAGCTGATAAGCTTATCTCTCGGTCACTCTGCTCTCTACTCCGTGCTCTATGTCAGCAAATAAGCACTGAAACAAAAAGGTATTGGCTTCCTTATGCTGCTTTTCCCAGATTGCTCCGTGGTATTGTGTTCACCATAGCTACCTACGATTGTGAAAGTCCATGGAAAAACTCAACAGAAGTCAAATTGATGTGTTGGAGCTAGGGTGATGGAGAATGTCCCTCCGCATTACATGGGCAGGAAACAAGAAATCACTGGAAGAGGTAAAACCAAACGGTTTACTGGATGCCAAGATTACAAAACTCAGACTCGGTGACTCTTTGTGTGGAAGCATTGATCTCATTGCACGCCCCAGAGCCAGACCTATCGCTCTGCAATCAGTGCTTTACACTGACTGTAGAGCTCTGGCTCTAACTCACCAAAAGGCATGTTGGACCCCTGCAGAGAGATTACAGTTTCCACACATTCTGCATCTGCTGTCAGGGGACAGGCTTTTCTACCATTCCACTGCTGTGGCTGCCTTTTAAACTCAGGAGTTACAACTTAAAAATGTCATTCAAGCACCCCAACTATTAACAAAATTTTAGCTTATTTGTCCATCACCCAGCAATAGATCCTCCAATCAGCTCTGAATTTGTTTTGACATTGTCCTTCCTTCTGGAGGGTGGCTACGTTTGATCCCCATGGTCCCTGTGTGTGCTGTAAAGTAACCACTGCTCCAAGCTGACGGACTACAATATCAATACAATTTAGAAAACTAAACAAGAGATTGTAGTCCATCACAGGAATGAGCTTGGAGCGGTGGCTTCTTCACAAGGACAGAGATTATTTGAGGATCTACAGCCGAGTGATGCACAAATCGAATATATTTTTGAGAATAGTTAAGGTACTTGAATGTATTTTTATGATTTAACGGAGTTTAGGGTCACTATAAAAAAAAAAAAAAACTGTAAGACTTTGCACACCTCTTGTTTCTATGCACTGGAATGTATTTAGCCAATTTAAACTGAAAGTTTCATTGGTATTTTAAAATCTTTCATCCTATTCCCTAAATGGAAGAGAAGCCAGGATGCCACGGGAACAGGGAACAAAATGTTTTCTACCACTGTTATATACTGGCTGACGGCATAGATCACCCCGAGTAAAACAAGCCATGCTCCTCATAGGAGTTTTGGCTTTTTTTTTTCTGGTACAGACCCACCAGAGAAAAAGGTATTCCATAGACAGGTTCTCCTTTAATGTTGCTGTGAGAGGAATGTGGGAGTCCTGCACGGGGAAAAAAAATAAACCTGCTCACAAAAGGTCATCTATACTATAAAGGCAACAGGTGCACTTCAAAGCTTTCACCACGACACTTTCAGGGTCAGTGATTTTCTCATACAAGACGAATACCAAATCAAAGAGAACATGTAGCAGTCTCAAAATCACTTCAAGTCCCTCTACAGTCTATTTGGGGTCTCTTTGCCTTTTGCACTCAATGCATGACTGCATCGTACAAGCTTCACCAGCATGACTGAAAGTGTCCCAGAAAAAACAATTTGCAACAAAGAAAATCCACCTTTAAAGAATGCCATTGTATACACAAGCCGATGTACCATATATCATGCATCTTCGTTTCCTTTCTTCACCCACTAAAAAATTTCACCACAATCTACCGATGACCTCTGCTGTTAAAGGAACACGACTTTTGACCAATGAGATTATTTTGTTTACATCTATTCAAGGGAAAATTCCAAGCTGCAGCCCAGCGCCTCCAGCTTGTGGTTTTGCTTTTCAGTTTGTGTTTTTGTATGCCCCTTTGTGCCTGCAGATGTTCCAATATCTTGTTCCCTGCAGACACAGGTGTGCAGAATACACTGAAAACCCATAGGAGTTTTAATTTCTACACAAGCCACTTAACATAGCTGACCACCCAGCAACCCGTAAGCCAGGATTAGACTTGGCTTTGGGAAGTGTTATTAGGGAAATAAACCAATTTTGCTGCAAGTGTTTATATGAACAGATTTGTTTTTATGGATGTTCTCAAAGTTTCACTTCAAGCCCTAAAAACAGGACACTGTATCTAATAGCTAGCCTGTCTTCGAGGATGCCCACTCCACTGTAGCTTTTTTTTTTTTTTAAAGCTCTTAAAAAAAAAAAACCTTTCCTACCCATTCCACCCATCCCTTATACCTAGTTTGAAAATAAAATAAAAAAATCTAAAAGTTGCAATGACTTATCTAAAACAGTGGTCAAATCTCGCACACGGTCTCCATTCTCCTTACTTCTGGCTTGTAGTGTGAGAGGGTCCTTTCTGCTTTTTGGTAAAGTGGGCGCTAGCCATTGGCAGCCAGAAGTGCATATCACAGGGTCCGATGCTGGTGACGTCATGATGCCAGGGACTGCAACATGACTGACTGACTGACTGACTGGTGTGAAATGCAGCTTTTGACCACTGGTCTGAATTACCAGGAGAAGTTCCCGGACAGCAGACATAGGTATGTAAAAGAGGGTCTTAAAACATTTTTGGCTAGCAATGGGAACATGGCTTTCACAAAATCTGCACATGTAGCCATGATTTACTAATGTTTCCATAACTTTTTCCAAGCCAAATATAGGTTTAGAAGTCCAATAGCATTCATTTTATCATAGAAGTTCAAAGATAACAAAGAAATGTGTTTAGGGGCTATAGTGTTCCCCTTTATTAGGGCTTAAGAGAATATCAACATGTAAATGATTAAAAAAAAAATAATGGCTACTAATTTGATACGATATCCTTGCAACAATAAAAATTTGATCTAGCTCTTCCATCTGAAGCGTTAAAAAAAATTGGCTAAAGTTGGGCTTAAAGCTCCACAATGCATTGCTATGGTAACTGCCAAGGGTGCATAGTCTTACCTACAGTCAATAGACAGTGGGCTATGCTATAGTACAGAAAGGAGAAAAGCCATGGTGCAAAGTCTGTTTGCAATTTATCAAAACAAACACACACACACAATCCCTACTCAAATTGTATAGTTTTTTTTAAGAGGCCAAAAAGAAAGTGGGAGCAATCAAGATAAAATATAAACAGTAATATTAATGAGGATTATCACTAAAGTCCGGTATACGCTTATACTTTTTGTTCAACCTGCGGACTGAACTAAAAATAATGTAACAGATTCCTACATCAACGCTTACAAGCGTGGATGGAGGCATCCCATACTGTTTTTCGGACAGTGGCCGACGACCGCTGTCAGAATTCCTGTACAGAGATAGCAGTCTACTGACTGCTAACGCCTTTTGGCCGAGTATGACATAACTTGCGACATAACTTACAGTTTGAAATTACAACCGACCTCCTTGCTTTTGAAAAAGCAGCACATTCTTAAAAACCTGCAGGTTGTAATAGGTGAAATCCCACTATAATCCCGCTACAGTTCTAGTTACGTAGACGATGTATTCGGAAATGTCGCAGGCGAAGCTTGTCTCATTAGCTTCCTGTAGAGTAGCCCTGCTCACCTTTTCAGTAGTCACAGTCAGAGAAGGAACTAATGATGCCAAAGGCTCCATTTGCTTTCTGGATTTCTGTCTGTGCTTTTCTTTTTCTTTATGCTTCTGAAATAAAGGAAAAAATTAAGTCACTTTTACATTAAGCTTTAAAGAAAAGTTTGGTTTGCCATATTTGAACAATTAGTGCAAATATGAATAATTACACCAAAAGACACTCATTATTTAGCATACTATGTGACCTCACAAAAAAAAGAAAGAAAGAAAAGAAAAACAGATGGCTAATGATCACTTTGCAGTGATTTTATTGGTTTCCAGTGTAAGTCCTGAAATTCTAAACCACACAAGGCTGTTGTAGTGTGTAACTGCCATATAACCTGCTCTGTGGAAAAACAACCTACACCATCAGAACACACTTGTGTAAATGACTTAAAGGGTCAGAAATGAAAAAACTCCTTTAAATAAGGTTTAGAAAAAAAAAAGCATGTAAACTTCATATCTGCTGATAATTATATTACAGTGTATAGAAGCTACCGCTATAAGTTATAGCTAATAAAGCTCATTACCAATACCGCTAAACAGAAATGCCTGAAAATGATTCATACCAACTGTCACCTTATTTCCAATACGCTTTAGGACCAATTAAATATATACATAATTATAGATAATTTTGACAACATGCACATTAGATAATTGTATATAATAAACAAATTTAGATATCCCATCATGTTGATGTATGAATACACAAATCATTAAATGCTTTTGTTTTTCTACCTTAATACCAAGAATTGATGCACTATTTATTTCTAAACAAGCTGCATAAATAGCTCTTTCCTGAAACTAAAAACAGGAAATCTAGCAAACTCATGTGTTCATTTATGCAAAGATACATAGATGCCTTTAAGATGAGACACTCAAACATGATTATAACGGAATATTTGTGTTGGGAAATACTGTTTGTTTGTTTTTTTTACTACTATATTTTATGAACTACGAGGGTACTTTAAAAGATCAAGTACAACTTCAAAGAACATTTGAATTCTACAACACCTAAACATTCACATTGTGCTGTAGCACCTTATTTTAAAGTGACGCTAAACTCAGGAGTTAAATCTTAAAAATGCATTCAAGTATCCTAACTATTCTGAAAAAAACGACCTTACTTGTGCATCACTCAGATGTAGATTCTCAAATCATCTCTGAATTGGTGCTGACACTGTCCTTCCTTCTGGAGGGTGGCTACTTTTGTTCCCCATGGTCCCTGTGTGTGTTGTAAAGTAGTCACCGCTCCAAGCTCACTCCTGTGATGGACTACAATCTCAATACAAATTAGTAAACTAAACATAAGATTGTAGTCCAACACAGGAGGGAGCTTGGAGCGGTGACTACTTTGCAACACACACAGGGACCAGAGACCGTGGCGCTGTAATCACAGCGCCACCTGTCTCAGCAGTCACTAACTGCAGCTTCTGTCACAGCTTCTGTCATAGAAGCTGTGTCAGAAGCTACAATCTGTCGAGTGCTCCATAAGGCGCGCCGGACCTCCCTGCGTCCTATGGTCCGGTGCGTCTTATGGACCGCAAAATACGGTATATAGAGAGAGAGATATATAGAGAGAGAGAGAGATAGATAGATAGATAGATAGATATATATATATCTAAAAAAAATGTATCGATTAGTTAAACGAAGAAATGCTTTTATTTAAAATGTAGAAAAATCCATTAATTAGACAGCTCAGTATTTTTTTTAATAAATTCAGCCACAATAAATATTTGACCTTGTTTAATTTAGCTAAACAAAAACATTTAAAACATCATATCGACTCTACTTAACTTTGTAAAAGGATTGAAATGTGAAAAAAGTAACAGAAAAAAATAATAAACATACAGAAATCTTTGCAACAGATGGCCCACTTTGCTTTAACATTTAAAAAAAAAAAAGGAGAAAAAAAAAACAAATCTGCCCTATTAAATATCAGCAGCAATTTTGATCGTTAAGTGACCCTTTGGCTTCTGGATCCCCGGAGGCCTTTCATGAGAATATTAAATGTCCATTATAGCCATAGCTTATTAAAGTTCACAATTGCTTGCCTCTCCTCTAACAGAAGTGCACTTTTATCAAACCCTAAAATTTGACTTACTATGCAATTATGCTGCCCAGATGAACTTGCAATTATAATAAAAAAAAAAAAGATTAAACAAAACAATGACAAAAAAATATTTCTAAATATTTCTTAAAAAAAAGGCAAACATTTAAAAAACACTAAAAAGGAAAAAAATAAGCTCTTACTCCCCTTTCGTAACATAACAACTGTACTTGGCAGACGGCCTGGAGAGCTGTAGTTGGGGATATCAATGGTTACTTTAAAAGTGAAAGGGGATTCTGGGTCAAAAACTCTCAGTTGTGTCATTCTTTCCTCGCCGTAAGTTTTGGAAAAAAATGGAACTGCCTGGTTACCTAACTGCTCAGACCATGTAGTAGAAAGTGCTGGAGACATGATTTTTCCATTTGCACGTTAGGGCAGTGAAAATATATATTATTTAGAAACATAATTTTAATGGTCTCCAGAAGGAAAGAGCAAATAAATAAAAAAAAATCCAGGGTGAGCAAGAGACACTGGACTGCAAGCCATTGTATAGCAAAGTGGCGGAATCCTCAATATGTCTGTCAAGCACTGCAATAAAAAAAAAAAATTGTTGGTGCTACAGAAATAAATAAAACTCCACTGCAGCTAAAGTTTTTAAGGTATTTCTGGAAAGGTATGCAGCCTTTTCTCGCATGACCAGACTTCAGAATGTGTAGACGAGCCTGCCTTGGATTTAGAAAGAGTGTGGTGCTAGAACCAGGGAACACAACATTTAGACAATGGGGACTTCAGTAGGGATGAGCAGTTACATTTTACCTATAGTTGCACTGAATGCATTTCTTCAAAATTTTATCTAACGAAAACTCATAATTTCATTGGATTCCTAGACATTCTTCATGAAATGCACTAGAGTCTACTCAAGGTGAATTGCACCAGCTGCTATTCACCTCATTAAAAAGCAGCTAGGTAGAGACTATAAATAGCGGGAATTAAAGCACTTCAGCAGGTAGGTTGTACTCACTTAAAACAGCATCTGTGATTGGCCAGAGTGTACCTTTAATGTGCATCTAAACGCAAGAAGAAAAATGCAATATATTGCAGCTGGCCAGCCTTTAGGATGTTGTGGCTGCATTAGTGTTTCCCTTTATTTTCAACTGGTGATCCTACAAGTAGCACTCCTTGCCTAAGGATGACAATTCTCATTCCCGAATGTATCTATGGAGAAGCAGCATTCTCCCCCTAGGACAAAGTGTTTTAGAACAACAGAACACAACCCATTGTTCTTTATAAAACAGCGGGGTGAGTTTTGTAGACCACAGAGAGAGCAAGGGACAATGCTAACAGATAGCAGTCAGCAGAAGTAGACAGCACAGGAAGTTATAAGCCTTTCTGGCAGGATCAACAGATTTTTGTTTGCACCAATCGAACAGAAGGAACAAAATGCTTTCAATGCTAACATTAACAGACCAAAAGGAACCAAATAAGAACAATGTATTCTCTGGGTTTCTACACTCTTTAAATATTTGTGCACCCTTCGTATTATAAGAGGGGGCAGGGAATACGGCTTACTTGAAAATCTGCTGCGGCCTACTCAAATTCCATTTGAGAAGATTGTCAGGAGAAGGCACTTCTTCCTCAATGGTAATCGGAGCAAGGCCATTTGAAAACAGCAGCCCTGGGGCTTTTTCCCCTCCTTACATCACCAAGCCTTTTCAGATAAGCAGGCTACATGATCTTCCTCTTGCACCTTTGGGAATGCCATTCACAATGGAAGCAGTTTGTATTTTCCTGAGGTTCCACGTGAATGAAGAAGCAGGAAGAAAGGCCAGGAATAATGGATTGTCATCTGCGCAATATATCAGTTAAGCTGCCACATCTCAAAAGCTCAATAACATTTAAAACAAAAGAACCAAACATGATCTTGTGCCCCCATGGTCTTAAAGGGAAGTAAAATGTATTTTCATCAAGCATGTATCAGTTATTACTGCACTGCTTAAATTAACGCAAGAACCTTATCATATATGGGATAGGAGCATGCACTTGCCATCTAAAGAAAGGATGCCCGCATGTACCTGCGCTAACCTCTATTCAAACACCTCGGACCCCTGAAAATCGAGGCACTGTGATGTGTATGCAAATACAGACTTTGCTTCTTAAAGTCAATGGTTGGATATCACCCTTATTGTCTGAAGAGAGTTAAAGAACCTCCAAAATTTTTGGAACTCTAGAATGCAAATACTTAATAGCCTCTATGGTCCCTGGCACAGGCCTTGCGCCTACCTACTGGCCCATAACTGTAAAGAGCAGCCATCCTCAACAAATAGTAACGCGTATGGGGGATTTGTGCAAGTCACTTATTTACATTATCCAGCAAACTTGGGCTGCAGGTGTATCCAATTGTTATTAAACAAGTGGTTTGCAGCACTGGGGTGCCCAGTCCAAATCCCAGTCTGGACTGCAGGGACTAACTCCAAGGAGTTTGCATGTTCTCCCTGTACTTGCGTGAGTTTCCTCCCATACTCCAAAGACATGCTGGTAGGTTAACCAGCTCCTGTCTGAACTGGACCTGTGTACATTTGAGATAGGGATGATGTAATTGCATCCAGTGACTTCATGGACATGAGACACTGAGTTTTCACATCTGCTACCTAGGGATTATTAGAGAGCCGTGATACGAGTGAAGGAGCAATAAAAAGCCTATAACCGTTTCTATGCACAGGTATTGTTAGATGGGATAACAAACAATAGCAAGGTTCTCTCTAAGAGGTAGAAGCTCTATAAAGTCAAAGATTTCCTCCATAACCACAGAGATTCCACTGACACCATCCTGGTAATTACTTGGCAGTGGCAGGACTTTAAAAAAAGTAAATCAATTTCTACATTATTTTTGCTCTACAAAACTGATACTAAATCACATGTAGCCGATGCAACTGCTCTACTAGGCGATTACTTTTTGGCTCCCAAGTATTAAAAGTAACAAGCATGAAAATGATCCCGTTTTATCAGAAATCTTTAGATTAAA